CCCACCCCAGGCATAGCAAGCTTGTCATTCACTCTAACAAGTAACCACATGGGAGTGTTTGCAGGGAGACAGCAGATACAAGAAACTGCTCTTTTAACTTACTTGGAATCTGCTCCAATTTATGCATCTGGGAAGTGTTTTAATCTGCATTGGGTAAGCCATGTTCTTTTTATTGTTTTGTACATACTGGGAATAAAAACATCAGTACTAGTGTTTATATTCTTAAATCTTTAAGAAATACAGATTTTGTTAGCATGTATATTCTTAATGAAAATGGTGTTTCAGTGTAAACATCCAGGAAAGGAGGTGAGTAGCACTGTAACTGCTGCTTTTTTAGTAAAACTGAATTTGACTGTAAGGCTTGCAATAAGTTTCCTATGGTAAATCATTATATGCTGGATAGTATGAAGCAGTATTTTAGCAAAAAAATGGTTAATGGTATTATCTGAGAGTTTATTTTAGTGCATTTGCTTGTTGCAATGATTTCTAATAAGCTGCAAACTGAATGTTTACTTCAAGAAATGCCAAAGAGTTGCATACTGTAAGAACATGTATAGGCTATGATTAGCATTTTCAAAGCTTTAGCAAGTAAAAGATTCAAGTAACCATTATAGTGGAGTGACAGCTCCGCTATAATTAAGTTTGAGACCCTCCTTCTGTTTAAAGGTCTTATATGTCTATGTATTCTAAACTCCACATACCTACCTGTATCATCCTGAAGTCTGTTACATCTCACGAAGGTGAAGAATAGGACTAACATGCCAGATTTGGGTCATTTTAGCCAGAGAATCCTGAGATACAGTCTAACAATAAATTTCCACACATTGCCCCAGTTGTTCTTCGTTGCTTGACATTTGCCACATCTAATAAATTTCTCCTTCAGGAAAGCAATGCAACAAGCAGTACTGACAAAACACTTGAGCTCTTTATTTAGGCACAACCTAAATTTGTGAACTAAACAGATTACACCATGTACATTCAGGCGGCATGGGTGGATTCGGGACTTTGTAGAGGAAGGTGCAGGAGCAGCTACAGGTGCTGCAGGGGTGGCTGAACCCTTGCTCCCAGATTCTAGCCCTTGCAGGGTGGGCACAGCAGGAGCAGCAGCAGCAGGACTTTTTAAGTTCCCCAATCAGATAAGAATCTCCCCCCACAAGTTCCCCTTTCTTTCCCTCTGTGCTCAGCAACAAATCCCCACACCTGCCTGCCCCTGCTGCTGCTCCTGGCCACAGCGCCTCCCTGGAGCAGAGTGGCTATGAAGCCCCATAGTCAGCAGGGACAGTGACAGAAGTGGGAGCAGAGACAGTGGCAGGGGTAGGAGCAGAGGGAATGGGAGGGGAGTGAAAGTGCCACAGAGGAGAATGGAGGGAGAGAATTTTTACTCTCCTCAGGGACTTAAAACAAGTCCTGGGCTGCTGCTCCCAAGGTGCCAACTGAAAAGGGAGTATGTCCACACCACTGCACCCCCCTCAGAATCCACCCCTGGTGCGCAGAGTAGCCAAAAAAGTTTTAGCCAAAAGAGCTTAACGCTCACCTCTTAAGTCCCATGGCAGGTGGAAGGCTCTTGGGGAAATGTTGAACTCCATCCATGTTGTCCACTCACATTTAGCTCCTCAGCAAAAATCTGGGGGGAAGAAGTAGGGTGAGAACCTTGCTACTATTTGCTACCCTAAGTGGTGCTCACTGAATATAGCAGAAAATTTAGATGCTCAGAATATTTTCTATAAAGAAATTAAATTCCACACATGAATCCTTGCTGGTAGGTGAAAGGGAGTAGGTGAAAGAGGAAAATAGCAGCTTGGAGATATTTTGAGGAGAGGAAGATAAACGTGGATGGGTAAGGGGACCCATCTCAGGATGAAGTGGAAACTGGGAAGGATGGAAAGGCAGGTAGTCCACAAGAAGTGATGTGGCATTGTATTAGGGGTGAGGATGCCCATGGAACCCATGCATACACCATGATTTGAAGGGCTTTGTGCTCCTTCTCCCATGTTCCCCTACCTAGAAGCCAGGATCTGGGTGTTTCCTGCTCCTCTGCACCTATCTGTTCCCCTTTCTCTGTCTCTCCATGTGAGCTGGAAAATAGGGTATGCCTGCCCTTCTAAGGGTCCCCGATATGCTTTGTCTGTTCCCCTGATATGAGCTGAGAGCTGGGTGACCCTGTTTTTCTGGAGGTATGTTGCCCCACTCCCACCCACCTCTCCATGGAGTAGCCAGGATATGAGAGAAGGTACTCTTTCATAGGTGCAGAGGGAGGAGGCCTGATCTCCTCTCCCTGTCTTGTGCTATGTGTATCCTTGTATAGAGGTCTGAACACCACCACTTCCCCACATGAATCTGAAGAAACTCCATCCCTTCCTCTGAGGAGGTGAAAATAGGCACACTGGATATGTGCACCAAGAACATAGGGCTGAGACTGGAGTAAAAAGCTAAGAATGGCCATGCTGATATCTCACACGATCCCAATAACTAGCACCAGGAGGTAGGCAACAGGAACACCCTGGGTGCCTCCAGATGAGTGGGAATGTGTGCTTTGCAGCACCTCAGAGGTTTCTGAGGCACCACAAAATGGTGCATGTTAAAAGGTTCTCTGTGCTGGATATTTGCAGTGTGGAGCCAAAATTAAATACTGGGAAAACCTGGAATCTAAAAATTTGTGCCAAAAAAAAAAAGCAGGGCAGGGCACATGGCTACAGCATGCTCCACCCGAAACCAGAGCCTGGCCAGCCAGAGCCAGGCTCCATGTATCTGGATTGTCCTCACTGCAGCCCCAGAAGGCTCCCAGAACCCCAAGTAATGCTGCTGGGGCCAGTCCAGGTGCTGGCCCCGGCCTCCCCTGCCCCACCTGGGGCAATTTGCCATGCCCCAGAGCGCATATGCAGGGTCATGCCCCAGGGACCAGTAGCCACTGCTGTTTGTCCCCAGGGAAACACACATGCGCACTCATGGGGACATGCCTCCTGAACACACCTCTCAGAACTATTGTTTCAAGTTATATACATCTCCCTGGGGTTTTTTACTCGGGCCAATGGGACAATTTGAAACCTTCTTTCTATTAAAGGAAATTACACTCTGTTAAAAAATCTACATCCACATGGGGTGCCCCAGAGGGGTGTTAGGAAGAGTTAGTTGATGTCCTGTCACCTAAGGCAACAGTACTCAAGATATAAGTACTGGGGGAAGCATTCCTTAACCCTGACAGTTCCACACATCCTTACCTAGTGAATAAAACCATGACTTGGATCAGGCCAAGAAAAGAACATCAAGTTCACTGAGTAATTGCAGGATCTTAGAAGACTCAAGATAATAGGATTCTTTTTAACCTAATTTGGCTCTGAACCAGATCTAAACCACAGGTGAGCCTTTATTGGGGTTTTGGGTAGAGAGGGATTGTCTTCTTTTAGTTTTTAGTTTCTACTAAACCAGAAACTTCTCTTTTTTGCCAGTTCTACCTATACCCTTTTGAGGAAACAAAAACTGAACACGTTATTCAACAAGGAGTTACGGTCTACAAGTAGGCACCAACTTCATTGCTCAGGTTCTGGTAGTTCCTATACTTATAGTTGGGTTTTAGCCCCTCTCCTGCAGAAGGGCCTGCATTCTCTCCCCTCTTTCTATGTGGGTGTCAAGATCTAAGGAGGAAAGACTGAATAGAACCCAGGAAATAAAATTTTGTAAATGCCATCCATGCATACGGTGGGCAAAAATATCTAGAGATGGAGGAAGACAGCATGGCAAGAAGGCAAATAGGTGAAAGAGGATGAGCTGTGCTGAACCTGGTTGAAGCAGGGGTGCAGAGGGTGCCAGGAGTTCAGATCCTGGTTCAGGATAAAATGTAGTAAACAGCTCTCCAGTGACTTGCTGTCTATAATATAACAGCAGAGGGCACTAGACAGCAAGGAGCAACTTTTTACATGGCAGTGGCTTTCAAAAGTGGTAATGGCTTAACAGGACAGGAAGGAACAGTGAGCTGGAAGAAATGGCTGGATGGAGAGCTATAAATTCAGTATCCTAGCACACTCCCTGCACACACAACTTCACTCCACAATAGCTGCCTGCACCTCACAACAGCCAAACACTTGGCTAGCTCCAGAGAAAGAGCACCCATGTTATTCTGTAAAATATTACCACTCCATTCACCACTTCGACAACCCCTTTGCCTTTACAGACATGATGACATATAACACTTAAGTTTCATTAATTCATTATTAAATACACAGGCCTGCCCTGACCCCACCCAACTGCTGACAAGCACCAAGCCCCAGTACTGATACAGCCTACATAACAGTGCTGAATTAGGCATACAGGATCTTTCTCAAAGGATATAGGTAACGCTTTGCTTTGCTTTGCTTTGCTTTGCTTTGCTTTGCTTTGCTTTGCTACACAGGTGGGAGTCAGGCAGAGGGGCTCAACTGTCTAGGGGGCATTTCCTTCTAGGAACATCTCACGTTCCAATCACAGCTCTGCCAAGATGCATTTATTAATGCCTTCCTCACTCAAGACAGTCACACCTAACACAGTGAGAACAGCTGGAGAACTTACAGACAATTCCCATTGGCTATTGCTGGCTAGATGTAAGGGACAGAGTTAAGTCTGTGTAAGGGTATATCTTAACTGCACATTTGCTGGTTTGAGCGTTGCTGAACTCAGCATTGGAAGGTCACAAGGTACAACCACACAGCCTTAAACAGTGATAGCAAAGGTTTTTTATCATTGACTATGTTGAGTTTTACAGCAGTTTGGCTTTCGTTAACATTATGGTAACTAGTAAACCTGCCAGTCACCCTAGGACAGAAACAACACTTCACAATCTGAAAAAAGATAAGTGGACAAACGTTTTAGGTTAGCTGGAATCATTCTAATTTTTTATATGCGACTTAAAGCCAGTTTGAATTTGGAAATAAAACAGGAAAAGTCTGTAGAAAGCAGAATTAAATATTCCAGGGTCTCCAGCATTTTGTAGGAGTTGTTATATTGCTTCTGTTACAGTGACTCAGAGCATCTATGCTCAAAGGCTGAGTTTGTTTCAGCAATTGCAACTGCACCTTTGCAATCTTGTTTCCTGATCCAGAGGATGCCCTGTGTAACTTTTCCCTTATTTTAAGGTACATTTATTGAATAAAAAATAAAAAAGATTTCATATACACACACAATTTGTTCTCTACGTGTTAAAAAAACTACAACAAAAGAAAGGATTCCTTTTGAACTCATATCATATCAAGTGGTTTATTTTAGTTTAAGAAAACTGAACCCAGACATTACACAAAGACTGAGATAAATTATGTGACAAACTGGAAGTAAAAATTCTGTACCTAAGCTCTAATTTTTTGCTACAGAGTTTTATAGCATGAGATGTATGTCAGTAGTGTCAGATGCAAGCTATGGGTTTATCCAAGTGACTGTGCAAGAAGGTAAAAGGTAAGCAAGAGTCAACTGTCACTAACAAATTTATATAACATATGTGAAAAATAAAACAGGTGCTGCAAACATGGCTATTAATAAAAATGTTGAGAGTCTAGAACTATCTCTGTATCTGGCTTCCAAACAGATCTCTTCTCAGCCAACTTCAATGGCAATTTCTGCCTATATAATAATGATTTGATTTAAACTGGTTGCTACGTACTTAGTTACTCTCAAAATGATCACTGTGACAAAATAAGCAATAATCAGTCGTTTCTAAATAACTTGAAAACAGCATGTGCATTAAGCAAGCAAACAGGAAAAAGTTGCAAAAGGGACTTCCTCTTTGGATTTCCACAGCTGCTGAGTGACGTTTAGTAAAGCAACTGTTTAATATTACTAAACACAGATCAAATCCTCCTCACTGGATACCGACATGGCTACAAAACTCCCCACTCGAGAGGAATGTGAGACTTGGATAACTTCTCAGATTGCAGATCTCCTAAGAGAGGTACTAAATATAGATGTCAGACTGTAAACAGAAGAGTATGAATTCAACTAGAAAATGGGTTGCTGGTCTTATCTATACTCTGTAAAATTTGTATGATTACTCTGTCCTAGATAGAAACATAGATACAATGCCAAAACACATTGTAGTCAGCAACTGCAATGATCAAGAACTCATCATTTGTATTAATATTCTAAGTTTCTTGATGGTCTCTTAGTTTTTATTGAGATTTAAGTCATGACCAAGATTGATTGTTAAAAGTAGCAGACAGGGTTATCCTGAGAAATATCCATTGAGAAGGGATTTCATATTATATTTTATTTCCTTGTGGCAACAAGTAACTATTTTATTAGAAGTAGGCGTCATTTTTCACTGACCGTCACTTTGTAATATACAGCATTTATTTAAGAACCTGCTTTGAATATAAACCCACATTAAATTCTAACTGCTAGCTTCAACTTAAGGGTCCTTTTAAAGTCCTTGAGCTCTTTTATTATTCTTTTGCTTCTGTTGTACCTTTCCTATTTATGTAATTTCCTTTTTATTACAGTCAGGTAGCTTGAAGCATACACAATATTCTAAACTTGTCGTCAGTAATCTCTTCCCTACTTGAATAATTCCCTCTAAAATATATATTCAAGTATTTTTTATGCATGCCAGTTTTTTTCCCTTTAAACTGTTGAACACTGTGGTTCAAATTTAAATGTTACCTGCTATTAATCCAGACATCAGAGCCCTGTGTCTCACAGCACGTAACTATTTGGTAGTCTCCTTTCATGTTTTGTCTTCATGAATATACATTTCTCTGTACTTTTTTTAAATGCGAGTCTTATCTGCTCTATTATAACAACCTATCCAAAATCTACTACAGCAAAAGCCATCCCCTTTCATACAGATTTTCATATTGATTTGCATTTTCTATGATGGTATGAAACCTTTACTCTTCTGGGTGAACATTTGCTGAATAAGTAGCCCCTCAAAAGAGAATCAAAGTACTTAACCCCCATATAGTATTATGTATAGTATTAGTGAACATTGTTTACAGCCATCTAACAACTCTCAGTAACCATATACAAGAATATAAGACAGGAAATGAATAAAAGCACTTCAGCAACCCATAAACTAAAAGGGGAATTTAGGTAAGCTATAACTTCCTGGTTTCAAATTTGACCTTGAAAGCTGAACTAAGTCTTTCAAATTTCCATACATCTTTTCTACACTTACCCTATGCCTATCCTTATACTCCCATCATGACTTTAACTAGTTGTATGTTAACACATTAAATAACTGAAAAGCGTTTAGGTCTGACTAAGTCTTTTTGCTATTCTATTAGTCGCAGCTCGACATTTCAACATGATAAACAGTTCAAGTCTGGATCACTTCTACCACCTTCTAAATACGTTGCATGTTACTATATCAAAGCATTCCTAAAATCTATACAGATTATTACCATAAGCTTCTTCTCTATTGGAATTATTTCTTATTTTTTTCCAGCCAATTTATTATTCTTAATTCAATCAGAAGTGATTTCTTTATTCTATTTCTGATTATACATTTCCACTATATTGTCCTAAAGCAAAAAGATCCATTAAAGCTTTGTTCTTAAATCTGTTATATTAGCTTGTATCCCAGTCCTCTCTTCATTCAGATGTGCTTATTCTTTAAACAGTAGATCTCCAGCTGAAAATATAAATCCTTTTACTAGTGACAGATAATGGACAGAATCAGCTTTAGTGCTAAAGCTACAGCTTTTAATCTGAAAGTCCTAAATTCCAGTCACTGCAGGGACAAATTCTTTACAAATAGTTTTATATACACCAGGTCTTCCAATTTAAAAACATGACAGGTAACTGCCAAAGTGTCTCACCACCCTGTAAGGTTGCCACAGCAGTAAGATAACAACCTACTAATGCTGTCAATTACACTCTTAGCTCATGAGGCAGCAGTCTGTGTGGTAGAGGTAGACGTCCTACCTGCTAATGATCCAGCTACATGTTAATATGATGCTGCGTGATGGAATTCCAGTGCTCCTGATCTAGTTGAGGCCAGTCAAGTCTTTAAACCAAATATTTTGCAAGTAGTCTTTAATTATGTCCTTTCTTCTGGGTGCCTGACTTGAGACACTTTTATAATGTGCACAAACATTGAGCACTGACAGCTACAGAAATCAAGGGGACCTATGCTTTGAACATAACAAGTGTTGTTTAATGCCAACTATTTTGAAAAATCAGGTCTTGGCATCTCAACCTAGGCACATAAAATTAGTAGTTACTTGACCTTAACCTCGCTGTACCTCAGCTCCCCATCTGTGAAATGGAGTGATAATATCCCTTTCATTTTACAAGCATCTTCTGAAAAATAAATTATTTCATATTTGCGTAGCATGGTAATAGTAAAATAATGAGTAATGTAGGAAAGCTATGAAGAAATTAATAATTATGTCTTCAGTGCAGGATATGGGTAGTGTGCACTAAGAAAGACAAGAGATCACACAAGAAGCAAAATGTTGAACAACTGCTTACTCAGTGAACAACTTCTACCCTATGTACTTGTGAACTATAGAAAACATGTTATGCAGTTTAACATATTATAATACATATGAACAAGGCAACTTCAATTCAATTATTTGCTAATATTTAAGTACTTGACTTTACAACCTTAATTATGTTCTTTTAACACAGAATATGTATGTGTATGTGTGTGCGTGTCTGTGTGTAATATCTAAAATAATTATTAAATTGTCATTCAGCAAAGTGTTTGAAGACTGATCAAAAGCATTTGTAGAAAACCAGTAACTAGAACAATAAAAAATAAACCTATTGATTTAGCTTCTTCTTCATAGCCAAGTTCTTAAAATAAATATTCCAGCTATATGCAAATAGTTATTCCTCTATTTTCCTGAATCTATTATATAAACATGGAAATACAACATCCTCTGTTCAGCATGCATCTCCTTTCTCCATATTTCCATTTATTCCAGTATATTTACTTTGGCATTATTGTGCAGATAGAGGAGAGAGGCAGAAGCGGGACGTACAGGGCATTGCAAACATTATTCCTCACCACCAGTGCTAGCATACCTTACAAATGGCAAACTCACCTTCCCCTCCAAACTAAGGCCTATTTTGGCAACAGTGCATTCACAATCTAGCCTTCTGTGCAGAGGTCAGATTGTGAAGTCATCATCCTACTGTAAAGATTTCTCTCCAAAACAAAATAAGCTACAACAAGGGTGCCACAGTACAGCCTACAGGTTAGATCCAGCCCACAGAGCAATTTAATGTGGCACATGCTGTTTCTGAAAGGGCTGGGAATTTGGAGGTGGAGCCTGTCACTGACTTCCCAAGCATGGAGCCCCATTGCAGATGCTTGTTTTTGATGGGAGCATGAACAATGACTTATTAACTCCCATGCCACTGCTGTCAGAGGTGTGTCCAGATCCAGCCCTTCAGGCTCCTTGCAATCCAGAATCAGCCTTCAAGGAGCCCTGTGAGCTCAGTCAGGCCAGGTGAGTTTTGCACCCCACTCTACAAGCCTGAACCCATGTTATTGGCATTTAAACCAGCATTACTTTCAGAATGACTCTACAATCCTAAAATTAAAAACCAAGCAGGGACTTCCATTTACCTCATATATTGTTTTGTAAATATCTCAAATGGCATCAAAACAGTCTTTTGTTACTGTACGCTTAAATTGACCATTCAAACAAAATATTTACAGATATAACAAAATTCAACCAAACACTGCATCGCCCTCATATTTTAGACTCCCAGCCCTATATACGTTCATTGAAATCTAAAGTTGAAAAAGCTAACTTCCTTAGGGCCACCAGATCTCTAAAGAATTCAATTCTGGAGCCCCTACCTCACACTGCTGTTCACTGTAAATTCCCTTTGACTGTGTAATTGCAAGCAGTTCTTACACAACTATTTTGCCCCTTTTCTGAGCAACAAGACTACATATTTAACAGCTTTCCAGAGTTCCATGGTTTATATCTAAATTAATTAAATGAATTTATAAGTCTCTGAATTAAAATTCACTGTTAATGGACCATAAAGTAGACAAACTACTTACTGAACTGAACTGACAACTAACTGAATAGTTAACTAAGACTCTTAAATGCCAGAACTCGCTAATAGCACTGTATATTTTTAATGAAGTTCTGCAAATTTTTTCCTACTGATATTTCTAAACTTTCTGTTCTGTACCTAAAAGCACAATTATTTTCTAAAGCCAGGCTAAAGCACTAAAACCCAGCAATCAAAAAAATTGTGCTAGGTAGATATACAAGTACCCAAGCTGGCTGCCAAACCAGAAACAATATGGTCACATTAATATGGCACTCACCCCAACTTAATAAGCCCTGCCTCTTAGAAGATTTAATTAGCCTGCATACAGCACCCACATTATGCTGCTTCCAAGTCAGGAGCTAGTGAACAGTGCTGCCTTTCCACATAGACACACCATTAGGGTCCTTCCCATCCCAGCGCTTTACCTTGGACCTCCTGAAAGGAAAACCCATTGGGCCTGTCCACACATGCAAGCACATGCACTTGCAGCAGCTCAAATAGAAGCAGTGCAAATTTGAGCTGGGGCCCCCCTGCACAGGGCCCCAGGCACCCTGCAGGGCCGCAGCCCCCCTGCGCACAGCCAATAACTTACCTTCTGCAGCAGCAGCAGCAGTGGGGCACTCTGAGCCCACTGCTCCCAGATCCCAGCTCTCAGGGACCATGTGCCGATTCCAGCTGGGTCCTGCCAGCCTTGGGGCTGCTCGTGCTGCTCGGCTGGGCAGCATGAGCAGCCCCAGGGCTGGCAGGACCTGGCTGGGATCAGCACACGGTCCCCATGTGCCACACTGGGTCCTGTCGCCATGGGACCAACCCAGCTGGGGGGCAGAAGGGCCCCAGGGCTGGCAGGACCCAGCTGGGCTTGGCACGTGATCCCCCCACACCATGCCATGTCTTGCCATCCTGGGACCAGCCCAGCCAGGCAGCACAAGCAGCCCCAGGGCTGCCAGGACTCGACTAGGTTCGGCACACTGTCCCCACATGCCACACCGGGTCCTGCTGCCATGGGACAGGCTCAGCCAGGCAGCAGAGGGGCCCCAGGGCTGGCAGCACCTGGCTGAGCTCACTATGCTGTCACCGCACACCGCGCCAGGTCCTGCCTCTGTCCCTCTGTGCCTGCAGGGAGGTGGCATGTGGCAGGACCTGGCCCAGTCCCACGCGGCTCACTAGTCTGGTTTTGCACTAGAGCGGGTAACATGGCTCTGGGAGGCATGGCTCCTGTGCACATTTCCTGGAGCCATGCAACCCAATCCGGTGCAAAGCTGAACTAGTTAGTTGAATTGGTCTGGGCCGTGTCCTTCTGCATGCCACCAGCTTCACCAAGGCTGCTCCAGCCATTTCCCCCCTGCAGCCCCAGGGACATCCCCCAGCCCCTCCCAAATCCTCTCACACATCCCCCTGCCACCTCTCACACCACCCACACCCATAAACCTCCCCACCCCCATTCCCAATTCCCTTACTTACCTTGGAGAGCGCCAAAGGCAGCAAGAGCACCAAAGAGATGCTCTGGCCAAAACCAGACTGTCCCTTCTGGAGGACTGACTCCCATGCCTGCTCCAGGCACAGTCTGCTACCATGCCTTGCTCTGCTGTTCTGCGGAGCATTTTATTTTTGCCCCCTGGATATTCAGGGGTCTAATTTTCTCCCCACGCTGCAAGTTTGCAGTGCAGGGAACATTTTTTCATTCCTGCATGTGCTTCTTGATCCATCTCAAAGGAGTTTGAGACAGGGCAAGAGGCACATGCACACTCGTCCAGACGCGCCCATTGAGTCTAAGACTACATAGAGATTCGGGGAGTTAGAGGGAGGTTAGATTGAGTTTAAAAATGGCTACCAGTATAAAGTAAGTTAGGATAGGAGGGGCTAGCAAGGCCTTGGAGGGATCAGGGAGGCAAGCAGGGATCAAGGGGGGGAATTGGGGGGCATGTGGTATCCACAGGGGGGTCAGGAGGGCTAGTGGTGTCCACAGAGGTGTTGGCAGGATATGGGAGGATTTGGCAGGATCAGGGGTCTAGCAGGGTCTGTGGGGAGGACTTGTGGTGATGGGAGACTCCCCCCTAACCCTGGGACTAGGGATTATTTTTAGCCACCTTACCCCCACCTAACCCCCAGACAAACAACCACACCAGCAAACCAACACCCTCCCACTGATCCTACCTAGCTCTCCCCCACTCCCCTTACTTCCTTTGCTCCCAGCACTAGCAAACACCACTAAAACCAGCGTCGGGGGCACACTGGTTGTGGGATGGTGGGGCTTGGTAGACTCGAGAGAAGGGAGATGTTGTCCTTCTGGAATGAGGCAAGGGACTGGGGGGTAAAAATAGTCCAGTTCCAGGTGGGGTTGCAAAAACACAGCCCTGGAGCTGGGGCCAGCAACTGGGCTTTCCAAGCCCCATGGGTTCACTGGGAACTGTACAGACATTCAGTTAGATCAGGCTTGCCAAACCCAATTTAAGTTAGATTACTTCTAAGGCAGAGTTAACTTAGATCGGGTTGGCCATTTTAAACCAATCTATCTTTCTTGAACTTTTCTACAGTTCATGCTTAGATGGACCTAACTAAGTATTCCTACTTGGCCTGCACTTGCAGAGAGTCAGTTAGAAAGGCCAAAGCAACACAAATTAAAGACTACACAGCTGAGGCTGGCAACACAAATTAAAGGCAACAAAAAGTCTTTTTCAGGTATGTATGAAGTAAAAGGAAGGTGCAGGGCAGCATAGGACCCCTACTGAACAAGAAGGAGCAATTAGTGACAGAGAGGGAGGACAAGGCTGAGCTATTCAATGAGTTTTTTGCCTCGGTGTTCCTGAACAATGGTCAAGATAAGTCTCCTAATGGGTTCTTAGATGGTCATCAGAGAGCCGCCAGCCCATCAACTGTCGACTCTGCAGAGTCACTTGGATGGACTCAATGTGTTTAAGTCAGCAGGCCCGGAAGAGCTTCATCTGAAAGTACTGAAGGAATTTGCTGGTGTCATAGCAGAAACACTGGCATGGCTGTTTGAGCACTCAGAGGACTGGAAAAGGGCCAATGTGGTCCCTATTTTCAAGAAGGGAAGGAAGGAGGATCCGAGTAATTATAGGCCAGTCAGTCTCACCTCCATCCTTGGTAAGGTCTTTGAAAAGTTTATGAAGATTGTGAAGAAACATATTTGTGGGTGTCCAGCAGGAAAAATAATGCAGCAGGGAAACCAACAAGGATTCATAGCAGGTAGATCATGTCTGACTAATCTGGTTTTGTTTTATAACAGGGTCACAAAATACTTAGATGCAGGAGTAGAGGTGGATGTTGTTTTCTTGGATTTTAGAAGGCCTTCAATATGGTATGGCATCCCATTCTCATAAATAAATTAAGAGGCTGTGACAGATGTTTACACAGTCCAGTGGGTGGAAAATTGGCTTAGCAGGCACACCCAGAGAGTGGTAGTAGATGAGTCAGTATCGACCTGGAAGGATGTGGCTAGTGGGATCACGCAGGATTCGGTCCTTGGACCTGTACTCTTCAATATCTTCATCAATGACTTGGATGTGGGTGTGAAGTGGACTCTGTCCAAGTTTGCAGATGATACTAAATTGTAGAGTGAAGTGCACACTCCAGGGGGTACGGAACAATTGCAGGCAGACTTGGACAGGTTAGAAAAGTGTGCAGTACACAATAGGATGCAGTACAACAAATACAGATGCAGAGTGCTGCACCTACAGCACAAAAAGATCCAGCACACCTACTGGCTGGGAAGTGATCCTCTCAGCAGCACAGAAGCAGAAAGGGACCTCGGAATCATAGTAAACTCCAAGATAAACATGAGTCATCAATGTGACAAAATCATCAGCAAAGCTAACCACACTTTATCATGCATCAGCAGATGCATGAAAAATAGAACTTGCCCTCTATGCGGCATTGGTCAGACTGCAGCTGGAGTACTGCATCCAGTATTTGGTGCTGCACTTCAACAAGGATGTTGATAGTCTCGAGAGGGTTCATAGGAGGGCCACTCATATGGTTAGGGGCTTACAAGACAAGCCCCATGAGATGAGACTGAGGGACCTGGACCTCTTCAGCCTCTGCAAGAGAAGGCTGAGAGGTGATCTTGTGGCCATCTACAAATTCATTAGGGGGACTCAGCAAAGAATCAGAGAGGCTCTGTTCACCAGGGCACCCCTTGGGGTAACAAGGAACAATGGTCACAAACTGACAGAGAGCAGATTTAGGCTAGATCTCAGGAAAACTCCTTCATGATAAGGGTGGCCAAAATTTGGAATGGGCTTCCGAGGGAGATGGTGCTCTTTTCTAGCTTGGGGTTCTTTAAGAGAAGGCTGGATAGGCATCAGGCTGGGGTCATCCGACCCCAGCACTCTTTCATGCCTAGGCGGGGGGTCGGACTCAATGATCTGTTGAGGTCCCTTCCGACCCTAGCATCTAGGAATCTATGAAAGGTTCTAAGTGTAGGGTCTGCACCTACACAAACTAAATTAGATTGGGTGGACATTTTTAATGTGATCGAACCTCCCCAAAAGTCTGCATGTACCATAAGATTCATATTAGAAAGGGCTCAATTTCCTGTTGTAGATAAAGATAAAGCTTTTGAGAGCTTCTTCTGGGTTCTGGTTTCATTTTTCTCTACAATTGGCTATCATAGTTTTACTAAGAAAAAAATATTTCGGACTTGAAGAACAGATACTGATTTTGAAAGTCTATAGCCTCTGAGCCTTGTTGTCTAGGAATGCCTCCTAGTCACTCTTTGTAATATTCTTCTTCTAGATATCCGCATCAGATGTAATGTACAGATTTGTGCCATTACTGCATACTTTGAATTTCTACATGGAAGTATTTTACCCATAAACCAGGCTACAATTTAGATTTTGTATACCTTTCAAATTATTTTATATATTTATACACACACACACACACACACACACACATAATGCTCTCTCTTTTCTCATCTCAGTTTGGAATGCCTGAATCTGCTGCAGTGGTGGAAAAACTGAATATCAATGGCCCCCAATTTCTGGTAAGTAATTGAAATATTTTCTGTTCAGAAATATTTCATAATAGGTATCTGCCTTTTGTATCACAGTGGGCACATCTACACATGCACATTTCATAATTTCATGGTTTCTAGGAGCCGAAAGGGACCTTACAAATTATCAGTTTACTTCATAGTAACCAAAATTACTACATAGTATGGGCATGTGTCTCCATGTGCATGCCCATACTGCGCAGTAACTATGGTGACTTATGCCAACTTAAGTGTAAATTTGATGCCAGGATCATGCAGGTATCAAACTTATGCCCAATTAGTTACTGAGCAGTAACTCATGTGTAGATGCCTTACTGTGTAGTAATGCTGTGTGTGTGGACTGACTTGGGACTAACTTTAGTCCCAAGTCATTTCATATGCAATATTAATGTGCTTTAATGCTTGCACATGTAGATGCCAACCTATTCCTTCTTACTGCATGGTAAATTACTGCACAGTAAATTTAAGCCAACATAAATGCACATGTAGACATTCCCGGTGTGAAGCTTGTGTTTACAATAGCAACAACTTAAGTTGGCTTCCTTTGTTCTTTGTAGAGTCATAGCAAGTCATATGTTATATTTATTATATAATATTCTAATAACAAAAAATCCCACTTTATTCCTCTGAATAATTTACTCACAGTAGTAAATCCTTGCCTTGCTCCACCTCTGGATAGAACAAACATCTAGAATACTCACACAGGAATCTGGCAGCTGAAAGGGATAGATATAAAGGTCCATTCACATGTATGTCATTGCAGGATTTGGATCTAAGCAATCTTATTAGCACTCTAACACCAAGCTGTGGGAAAAGCAAACTGGTTCCTGCCAGCTCAAGTGTCTTTTGTAGTCTTTTTTGTTGAATGATTGAAGATATTATGTACTTTCGTCATAGTAGGAATGGACACAGGATGTAAGAAATGTTTTCAGAAGTTAGTGGTAACCTACAAGAATAAAAGTGACACATAAAAGAAACAAAAAAGGAACTACAGGCAAGTTCTGCAAGGCACTTGTGACAGAAAAAAATAAAACAAAAGGAAAAACATTTGTGAGGCACGTTCTCCAAATTATGTATCCCCTTCAAGATTTCCCATTTTAAGCTTACCTTATTTCACATTGTAGTGTTCAGGGCATTACATGAAGTGCCCCAAGGTATGCCACTACCACATGTGTTTTGTATTCTATTGTTATAATACTGTGAGTGGCAGCTCTCAAATGATGGAAGATTCAAGAATTCAGTTACATTGCAAGTAATTAAAGCAGCAGCCTATTTTCAGTAACTGATCACTGGTCAGCTGTATCAGGAAATCCAAACTGTTCCAGGAATGGAAAGTTTCTTCTTTGATTTCTATTACAAAGAGTGTAAAATTGTATGGTTCTTCTAAGGAATACAAGAACAATGTATTGATATCTGCCTACATTTGCAGAGAGTCTAACGCAATTGTCTATGTGAAATGCTCCATTTATTTTATTGGATATTGAGATTCTAATGAGGACATCATATTTTTCAACATAATCATTTCATCACTCAAACATGTAAGAAAGGAGCGATGACATATCAAGGAAATCTGCAAAATGGGGAAATATGAGGTTTAATTGATTTAATTTTCTGAAGAGTGAATCTGCTTTCAAAAACTTGGGAAAACTGCAGTAAATTATTATGTAGCCCATAGACCACTTAGTATCAAAACAAACATCAAAATTACTACAGAGGGCTTGTTGGTATGATGTGAGGTTCAGGTTATATGCTAAACACTGAATTTGAAAAGAAAATAAGCTGAATGAACTTGCAATACTTAAGGCTTATTTGAGGTTTAAAAATCTGGCTGTAAATGCAGTAAAATTGCCTAACGTGCAATGAAGTGGCCACAATACATTAAATCAATTTTGTCTGGTTTCAGAAGGGAAATTGAGTATTGTAATTGGCATTTAGATTCAGTAGAAATTTTGTTTCTTTGAACATTTTTCTCTCGTCTGAGCTTTAAGCAATAAGACAATTGCTTTTATAATAAAACTCATTTCTATTCTATAAACATACTGTGTTTCAGACTGCTCTTTTGTAAGAAACAGGATTACATGCATTTTAAAGAAATTTTGAGATAATGGCTCTGCCCTAACATTTTTGCAGAAGCTGAAATGCAAAAACATGGTACATTAGAATGAGAGTATGCAATGCAGTTTCATCTTCCCTTACCAATGGTATTTTATTTGCAATAGTTATTCCAAATGCAGGTCACATCTCAGTGATGCTAATCTGGTGCTAATGGGTAGATCAGCTTTTAGGCACAGTTGAATTGCACAGTGTATTATATTCTCTCTCTCTCATTGCTTTTTAATGTCTGAATATTTGAAGAACTGTGCTTGGCTTTTTCTATTGTAGAGAGTATTTTTTGCTTTTTTGGTGCCATTTTCTAATTTAATGTTGATTTTCCAGTTAGAGAGTGAAAAAGTAGTAGAGACTTCAGAATTCTGATTTGACCTTAAGGAATGAATCCTGAAGTAGTTAGATTTAGGGTGCTACGCTTAACAAAAAAAAATAAGATTTTTACTAAAAGCATGGAGGAAATACCTAAAAGTAACAAAGGAGTTGCGCTGATTCTGGACATATTTCACCAGTTCTATGTTTTCACATATGTTGCTATTTCAAGACTTTTATATTGGGTCTTTGGGATTTAAATTTTTGGGGCTAACAAAGACTTCTTTAAAAGTACAATAATGGTTTACTTTTATAAAAAATAATCTTTAAAGAAGAGACCTATGAACCTCACTGTGACTGTCCTGCATATCTCTGGCAGTACAAAACAACTGACAGATCCAGTCTTCTAAGATTTGACTTTGCATAAGGTGCCAGAGCTTGCTTCTAACTCTACATTACTTCTTCCCATTCCTACCTGAATGAACATTAGCTGGTGATCCCAGCTTCTGGAATGCCAATTTGGAGCCACAGGCAGGCAGATATAAATTACATAAGCCAAAGCAGAGCTAAGGAGTCAGATGCGACCTCCTCTCCCTCCCCCCCCCCCCCCCCCACAAGGGGCTTTTGTCCCCATAAAGCACAATTCAGCTGCACTCAAAAATATGGCCCCAAGTATTCAGCTGAAGACAGAATCTGACTCCCCAACTAAACTTCTTGGGAAATAGTTGAAAGTAAAGTCCAACTATAGCTTTATAGAGAGAACAAGAGGCTTACAGCCCACTTCCCATAGGCAAAGCACTCCTCCAGTTCTTCCCCATGTATCAAACACACTAAAGACCACTCTGAATGCAGGCTACAGCATGGGCTGGCAGTGGAAGACTAATGCAAATAGTAGTCAGTTGTGATATATTTATTCTTACCATGTTCTCCCCCACTTTGTATATTATTGCTGGTGAGCTGCTTTCTCTAACTAACTTGTCAAGTATTCAAATTTCCCAAGCCACAACTTCGCAGTCAGTGTCATATACACCATGCTTCTTCTGATTCAGGAAGTAGGATAGCTTCCTTAAGTGTATCACTGTGCATGTGCCAACAAGCTCTTCATTTCAGTACAGCTTACTAGCAAGAGCATAGCACCCCACTAAGCTGACTACACTCTTAGCTCAGGAAGAAGCAGGTTCAGCACAAATGAAATTTATCTAACCAGACTGGTAAAACTGTACACGTGTTCATAGCAGAAATTTTCAACTGGGACAACATCCTGATTTTTAAAATTCCAGCAGGACTGTCAAACTGGAGACCATAAACCCAGTAGCTTTCCATAAGAACACCAGTCTCAGAATACTCAGGAGGTGGACCACATCTTAAGATAGAAATTGGCTTGTGGACTTGCTCCCATCCCCTGCCAATCACACTGCAGCTACAAAGCAATTGTTCATATGGAAAAAATACCATAAAAAAATCTTGATATGGTTTTAGCTCCTCACGTGAATTCTATTCTTCTTTCATCTCTCCTTTCATGGTCTCCTCCCCAGCTACTAGACATGCTTTCTTGGCCCTTGGCTCTCTCTTTGCTTCCTCCCTGCTAATACATATTTCCCTGACATACTACCCAGTTTCCTAATGCTCTTCTGCTCTGTTTTTTGGGCCCCATCCCTCCTCCCAGCCCTGGCTGGTGGTGGCAGACCTGGAGCACAACTCTGGTTTCTGTCCCAGCTGCTTTTACAAGCCCCAGAGCTCACCTTTTCTATGAAAAACCTGGATACCTAAGGGAGCTGGACACAGCAAGGTGCACTAGCACACTGTGAGAAATGAGCCATTTGACTTTGCTAGCCAACACTCCACAGATGACAAAAAATGCCTGTTTAGAACAAAATTGGTTTTAATTAAAACTTGCCTGGGGGCTGGAAGGTAAAGACTATTCTCTCTCAGGTGACAGTAGTTGTAAGCAACAAAATGGGAGAAAGGAAACATTGCAGGACAGAGGGCTGCAGGCCTGATGCTTGTTAGCATTATGAGAGACAACTGCAGCAGAAGTAACACAGACACTGGACTCTCTTCATGCCAGGTGTTGAAGGAAAAGGACAAAACTGGATTCTGTTTTAAACTGGTCCAAATCCAGATGTACAGATCAACACCAACTCAGCATTGGTTCAATGTCTAAAGCTGCAGCCATGTTTCACTGATGACTGGCATTTTAGTTTATTTTAAGAAGTTTTCTTGGTCACCTTGGGCCACCATTATCCATTAAATGAACTATTTTTACTGTTTCCAACCAAATCTGAGACTCCCTCTAAAAGCAGTAATATGCACTCACGTGGTCATTTCAGAAAGAGGGAAATAGCTGGGAACACAATCAAGAAAAAGGCAAAGTGTTGCTGTATATATAATGCAACTGGAACAGAGAGTGATTTTATAGTGATCTTAAGGCCTGGGTTAAAAGGAAAACATTTTACAGCTGAATGCATTAGCTGCTATCAATCATCTTCAATTAAATAAGAGGGTAAAAGGGTAATACATATTCATGTCCCTTCAAAAAAGCAGGACTTCATAAAAAAGGAAGCAAAAATTGC